TTGTTCCCTTCTCCCTCTTGTTGTCTTGGAGGAGAGAGAGCTTTTTGGACTTCAGCGTGTTGCCTCTCAGTCAGGGAGTGTGTGTTGATTTACTCCTTTGTTGACTTTTTTTAACGACAGTATTCAGTTCTTTTTGAGTGGTAAATCTTTTTTCCATTTCCCATCTGCACAGCTGTCCCAAGAGTCATCCTCTAGTTGGACACTTTAAAGCCAACCTCACAATTATTTTAATTGCACCTTTAATGTTTGCACTGACTGTTATTTAATGTCTGTTTTTGATAATTTTCTTCTTTTTAAACATTTCTAAAAAAGAATTTGATTCATCTAGGGGTATTCTTTAAATCTTTTTTTCAGGTTAATATATATGTATGGGAGGGGGAGGGGGGGCGTCGGTTTTGTGGTTAATTTGTAACAAATGTTTCATGTCATGTCTTTGTAACCTGCTACTGGATGCTTTGAATTTCCCTCTGGATCAATAAAGTATCTATCTATCTATCTATAAATATTCCTTCATTCTGACTTCGGTTGGGTGTATGATGTGTTTTATTGGGTAAACTTGTGGGTTGTTGTTGTTGACCCCGTGGGGTCGCCTGGGGTTTTAAAACAGAGGAGAGTGCATAGATTAAAAAAAAGAAAAGGTGCTGGTGCTAAATGACAAAGTGATGACAAAGTGAGCTCAAACAGCAGAGTAATGCACGGTAGTTGTTGCAGGATTGTTTTAAATCTTTATAAATTTAACTCCCCTCCCCCCCTTGAAGAAAAGCATGTTGTTGACTTCTGACCTCGATGAATGATCGGGGACTGATGTGGATAGATGTTATCTGAAGGCTTTTGATATGTTAAATGAACGCACGCTGCAACACTTTGCAAAAGGAGCGTGAAGGTAGCGATGAAAAGAAAAATCCAGGCTGCGGTAACGGGAGAGGATGTGAGGAGGATCCATCTTTTTAACATGAATGGGTTATCAGTGGGATCTTCACTTTCACAAACGAGAGAAAGCGTATGTCTGCAGGGAGAAAACAGAACCCCCTGCCTTCTTTCCATTCGTCACAGGAGAGTTCTGATGTCTCGTTTGAACACAAACAAGCCGAGGAGGAGAGAATAAACGCCTCATCTGTGCAGCAATCATACATTCACCGAGCTGAAGAGTGGCAGCATGTGGAGTGTGAGGATGGAGATGAGCTCTACTGATGGGAGGTGTGAGTGTTTGCTGTGGGAACCAGCAGCAGACGAGGAGTGTGTGGGAGGAGGTGAAAGGTCACCGTGTCTGATGTTCACCTCCAGAAACGCAGCCAACAAACCCCGAACCCCGTCAGTATCGGCTCATCGTCTTAAAAAAATAGATATTTCATAACCCAAAGAGAGAAAGAAAATGAATCTTAAAAAAGGAGGTTAATGTGTGAGCCAATCCGTGAATCAGCGTCTCAGTTCACATCAATCTAAAAAAAAAAAAAAAACAGCAGAAGAAGAATCTACTCAACCGACAACAAAGCCAGTGTTGTTATGAAACTGCAGCAAGGATGCAAGTGTGTGTGATGACCACCAGAGGGCAGCATGGGGAAGGAAGGGTCAGCTTATTCAGCACAGACAAAACAGACAAAACAGCAGCAGCAGCAGCAGCACGCCCTTCTCTATCCAACTACAAGTACTCCATCAAGACATCTGATCTCATCTGTTAATGGACACTGAGGCCTGAATGCTTCATACTGACTTCCTGTTTAACACTTTAAAGCTACAGCAATGTTTCAAAAAGAGCTGGGATGCTGATTTAAATGTAAATAATAAGAGCATTCTGGTGATTTGTAAAAACATGAATCAACTTATTGAATGACAAATAGAACAAAGAAAACATATCAAATGTGGAAACTGAGAAATGGCAGTCAGGAAATAAATCCCCTTTTGGATCTGATGTCAGCGACGTGTTTCCAAGAAGTTGGGACAGCGATGTGTTCACCGCTCTGTTGCATCACTTTTTCTTTGAACTCTGAACGTTTTTGGGATCTGAGGAGAGCGCTTTGTCATTTTGAAAGTCCCGTTCTTGCAATAATAGAAAGTGTCAATAATATGAAGATTTTCAACATCATTTTTTTTTATATATTTATTTTATATATGACCTGTTAATGTTAATTTTCACTCTGGTAATTATTAACAGAATCAACAGACTCACTGATAACAGAGTTAACGTCTCTCACACTCCTTTGATTAACTTTCACCACCTCTACTAACCACAAACCAAAAAATAAAGAACGAGCATGGTATCTGAAAATACTTCATCTTGTGAAAACAACAGAGTCCCGTTTGTGTCACCTCACATCATGTGACTGTTACACAGAAGATCACTGAGGGGGGATTTAATGACAGAATGGAGACCTGGGCCTGTCACTGTACACTAACACATACAGTAAATATGAGCTGTGTGTGTGTGTGTGTGTGTGTGTGGAGCCTGCTGTGACAGGCCAGTAGGAGCAGGGGAACCATGAGCAAGACAGAAAAACACTCAAGAATGTGAGGAATCTTGTCATGGGCTATAATAGAGAGAGAGAGAGCGAGAGAGAGAGCGAGAGAGAGAGGGCGAGAGAGAGAAGGCGAGAGAGAGGACACAGGGGAATAGAGGCGGGGGGAGGATGAAGATATAGAGAGAATGAAAATGGAGAAAGATGGAGAGACAGTTAAGAGGTTAGGAGGATGTATAACAACGAGAGGAAGGGCGGGAAAAAAACGAAAATGTCAGGTATACATGAGGGACCATAAAGAGAAAGAGATGGAGAGAGAGAGGCAGAACTGAGAGAGAGAGAGAGAGAGAGAGGCAGAACTAAGCCTGGAGGGTGTGAACGAGAGAGAGAGAGAGAGAGAGAGAGAGAGAGAGAGAGAGAGAGAGAGAGAGAGAGAGAGAGATTGATAAATGCTCTCTGGGGATGTAGATGGTTTTGGAGCCAGCTGGCACAATCCTGTCGTCCACTTCCAACGCCCCGCGAGGCACAGAGACGAGGTCCAATTAGAAGTGTGATAGCCGCCAATCCAGCTCGTCTCTCTATCTGAGAGGATGAGAGGTCTCTCTCTCTCTCTCTGCCATCATGTCTCCTGTCTTCCCCTCTCCCCACTCTGTCCTCCTCCTGAACCGGCTTTCAGATATCAGGCGGCGAGTGAGAGGATCAGACGGCTTTCTGAAGACTGGGAACATGTACTCGAGTCTCATTTTCACTGTGGTCACGCTGAAGTTGTGTGTGTGTGTGTGTGTGTGTGTGTGTGTGTGTGTGTGTGTGTGTGTGTGTGTGTGGGGGGGGGGGGGGATTATGTAATCATACTGCTGCATGACTGATCACACTGAAGCAAGATGTCACTTCATTAACTGTAAATACTGGCATACATATTTGATGCTCACTCAGGTCACCATGTGGTGGACTCTGAAGCTTCAGTGTTTATCCAGCTCTGCATGGGTCTGTAAACCTTTCTGTGTTCTAACCTCTCTCCATTTTTCAAAAGCATCTCCAACATTGATCCTAGTTTGAGCACGTTTCTGCTCGTGGAGCTTATTAGAAACATGCAGAGGCTTTTTAGGTCGGGTACAATCACTTCTATCTGAACCACTTCTCTTGACCGCTTCCATCACTGCAACACCTGTTGACCTGATAACTGCTCTCATATCTGACAAACAGAGGGGCGTCCAAAACGGCCGTGTGGGGGGGTCGCCTTAAAAGCGCCTACCTTCTCTGGTCCAAACAAATCCAGAGCATTCAGGAGCAGAATCTAAAGTTAGAAGGAGGACATACTGGCTGCTGCATTGTTGTCAGAGAAGCCAGCACTTCAACATAGCATGTTTCCTTAATGATCAGATAGTAAGATACCTTTATCATTTCAAACTACACATCTCACTGATTGGACCTTTAAGAAGGTTACAGCCTTTTGTTTTCTGCCGTCCCTCACCTCGACCAGCTGCATGAGGTTCTCAAAGTACTCCTCCTCGTCGATGGTGAGCTTGCCGTTGTGGTAGATGATGCGGTAGTGCTCCACCTTGCCATCACAGCTGACGCACAGGGTGTAGTCGCCGGGGTAGTTGGTGCTCTCCCTCACCAGGAACAAACCCGTCTCAGGAGGGTAGAGGAGCCGCTCGGCCTGCTCCCGAGTTATCTTCCCATGAAACCATCTACAAAGAAAGATGTGACAGGAGAAAAGTTAAGAGGGAAATGATACAGAAAGAGGTGAATATGGGTTCATGTATGTGTTTCTTCAGGATTCAGAAGAGCGCTATATGAGCCCAATGTATTCTTATTATTGTAATCATGTATAAAGATCCTCTTCCATGTATCACAGCCCACAACACTTCCCCTGAAACAGGAAGTGGAAAACAAGAGAGTGAGGTGATGGGAAGCTGGCAGCAGCACTTCCAGTCCGTTCAGCTCGAGCGGTGCAGGGCCGTTGAAAAAGTACCTGAACCCAAACAACAGGAAGCGTGGAGCAGACACACACACACACACACACACACACACACACACACAGAACACACACACACACACACACACACAACACACACACACACACGGAAAAGCCTGAGGCAGAGTAGGAAACCGACACACAGCCACTGCAATAACAGGAAAGTGCAAAAACTGCTCAGACGAGGCGTCGGGTCGAACAGAAACAGGTCACCCACTCCTACAGGGAGGACCAGAAGATGGACATAAATAATCATATAAACTCAGGATGAAGCTAAGCTAAAAAGCCGGCCATACTCGGAGAAAATATAAATCCTCATCCTTCATCTCAAAGCGTGATGTATGACCCCGCCTCACCCTCACCATATGGCCTTCTGGATGCAGCTATAGGCTGCTAATGGATGGATTAGACGGCTGCATTACTCGGAGCGCCATCGCATGCAAACCAGATTCCTGGATTTCAATCTTACCCTGGTTTCTGTGCATGGATCTTACATCATAACACTATCCATGTTTCTGAACATCTGTGTGCAGCTGTCTTTAACATCCACCCGTTTACGTCTGCCTCTCTGGGGGTCAGGATGAAGCTGCAGCAGTCTGAGGCGGTGTGTCTTGTCACCCTTCTACCGCTGCAGTGTTTTCCTGCTCCTGTGAGGGGTTCTGAGTAGAGATAAGTTTACTAAACAAAACTCACAATGCTGCTCAAATGTAATGTTCATGTAGTGGTCATGCTGCCACTAGCTGGGGCTGTAGCTCTGGTTAACGGGCGAGCTCTCCTCGTTCTACTCCCCCGATGTAAACCAACACAGGAGCAGCTGCGTCAGGATGAACTGACCACATTCAGTCCAGGCATGTTAAAACTGCATGAAGGACATACAGCTGGTGGTGCTAGCAATGCTAATGTTAGCCACACTCAACATCAGACCGACACACAGGTAGGATGTTGCAACAGGAAGTGTGTGGCTCTACTTATTACCCAGCGTTGTTCAGGTGAAGGTGTGGGCGAGACATGACTCATCGTATTTTTGTGTCTTTGTTTTAGTAGTTGTGACGTCTGCTGTAGATTCGCTGTTAGCCGAACATTTACCCCGTAGTCCCCTCACAAAACGTTCTTTGCTGAGTGGATCGTTTTTATTTAGCTTTGCTCCACCCAACTGTGATGACCTCGGGACCCCAAAGGGTCTTAAAGGCCCCACTTTGGGAATCACTGCCTTAAGACCGGTCTGCTAGGAACAACCTAATCTTGAGGCCAAATAGGATGCAAAAAAATCAGTGAAGAACATAAAATACAATCACAGACAAACCGAGGACAGATACACTTCATAACGTCATCAATGGTTAAAACAGCAGTTTACATAATAAGTATCAAAACTTGACTCTATGACGGGGGTCTCCACTGGGTCCAAATGTCTGGAAAACGTCTGATATGAGATGCTCAGAGCGTCCTGATCAGCTGGATCATTTTAATGTGAAGGTGCCGGAGGTTCAGCCCTTACACAAGCGATGATGTCATCTCACTATTCGATCATTTCATATCGTTCTGGGTGTGAAAGCTCGTAACAGCTGCTGAAGCAGCCACAGCGTCTCTATCCATCCTGCCAGGTGAACAGGTGATCATCAACAACTACAACTGGTTTAGTTTTCTAGAGCTGCCTCCATCACTCCCCCTCCTCCTCCATCACTCCCCCTCCTCCTCCTCCATCACTCCCCTCCTCCTCTCCATCACTCCCCCTCCTCCTCCTCCATCACTCCCCCTCCTCCTCCTCCATCACTCCCTCCTCCTCCATCACTCCCTCCTCCTCCATCTATTCCTCCTCCTCCATCACTCCCCTCTCCTCCTCCATCACTCCTCCTCCTCCATCTATTCCTCCTCCTCCATCACTCCCCTCCTCCTCATCTATTCCTCCTCCTCATCTATTCTCTCCTCCATCACTCCCTCCTCCTCCATCTATTCCTCTCCTCCATCACTCCCCCTCCTCCTCCATCACTCCCCCTCCTCCTCCATCTATTCCTCCTCCTCCATCACTCCCCCTCCTCCTCCATCTATTCCTCCTCCTCCATCACTCCCTCCTCCTCCATCTATTCCTCTTCCTCCGTCACTCCCTCCTCCTCCTCCTTCATAACTGTCCCCTCCTCCTCCTCCTCCGTAACTCTCTCCTCCTCCTCCTCCTCCTCCTCTCCTCCTCATCTTCCTCAGCCTCCTGAGACAGCAGAGGTCCTCGTGGCGGGCAGCTTAATACGGGTCATGTTGATTAGATCAGTGCAGGCAGCTTCTGCGCCTCCTTGACTCCTACTAATCCGAGAGCGGGTGCCAAGCTCGCTCGCCCCAGAGACACACACATCGGCCTTTTAATGGACACACTAGCTGCTCTGTGAACGGCAATTATCTACAATCTTCATGCATGACATCATAGTGACAGAAAAAAGGCCAAAAATGCAGTTAGCATCTTGGAGTGGACAACAGGAAATAGGGCGGTACGTTTTTGAATGCCCAGCTTCTTAAGGGGGTGGTGCTGCAGGGTCTTGCAGATATCTGCCACAAGGGGGCAGCAGACTGCGCAGGCTGCATAATGCTGCTGAGTCTCAGCTGTCAGGGTGAGCATGGAGACAGAAGAGCACAGCTGAACCTTTATGTAACTCAGAGCAGAGGGAGAGAGCTCTTCTCTGAGACATCTGTTAGTGATTCACTTCAAAAAACAAAATCAACAAGTCCCTGAAGGTTACAGCTAACGGCTCCAGAGGAACCACTTCTGATGACATGAGGGATATGAAAAAGACAACGACTTCGAGGTCAGCGAGTCAGGAGTCCATTCATTCTTTAAAGGTCAGATGAAATCAAAGCAGAGATTTATGATGTCTCTAAATCACATTTTCATCACGACGTCTTGGACTGATATCAACCGAACACCAGAATCAAGCCAATAATAAAGACAATATGTGGGTACACAAAACGCCCATTTCCTTGGAAACATAGAAATGATATCGACTAATGACTCAAATTCTGACTGATCCACAAATCCTGCAGCCAATGAAATGCTGTCTCCGTTCTCACAGGACGTACACCAGGTAGCTTTGGTTAGTAATCATCAAGACGCATGTTCTCCCGTTCATGGCCGTTGGTTACAGTAAATTTACGGTAAGCATTCAAATGAAGGTCCCCGGCTTCTTACATTAAACTCAGGGTTGGTAATTTAAAAAAAAAAAATAGCATGATTTTGAAAGTAGCATTCCCTCAGTGCTCCATCTGCACCCCCTCCCCTCTGTGCTCCCTCATAAGCCACGCCCCCTCACTTACATGACTCAGCTCATCTTTTACATGTGTAGAAACTACGTCGTCTCATGTCTCATTCAGCGGTCAGTAAACTCACAGTTTAAATCCTAAAGTCATCGGTGACGAGCTTTGAGTGTGAGCTAGAGCACGCAAGAGGTAGAGAGTGAGCAGGGAGACAGGGAGGCGTCTGATTGGTTCATCAGATTGGTACCTCGTGTCAGACATTGGTGGAAGTTTTTACAGACTTACAAACTGATACAGATGATGGATTTTCTTTGTCCCATTTTCAGAGAACATGAGTTATTAGTTTCTGTCAGGACCTAAAGACAACTTCAACCAGAATCTTATTAAATGTATCTCAAAGGAAATGACCAACTCTGACTTTAACATGTGACATGAAGAGAAGCAGAATCAAAAAGCTCTACTTTGCATGTCATGGAAACTTGAAGTGAAGCCTCAGTTTGATTACTGTCAGGGTTGACTTCTTCTGCAGTGACTTATAACAGCAATCAAATGTTCATAATTTGCATTTTTCTTCTCTCTCTCTCTCAGAAAAGAGAGGAAAGCACACCTGACAAGAGTTGTTAAAGAGGACATGTAGTATTTATGATGATATGAAAACATGAAATATCTCTCAGTAAAGTTTAATCTAAGAAGAGCCTCAGCAAAGAGTTATACTGCTGTGTGTTGCATAATGTCATAGTCATAGCACAGGGCGTATTTAAAGTTAACCACTGGGACTTTTCAGAGATCACACACACACACACACACACACACACACACACACACACACACACACACACACACACACACACTACACATGCCGAGCTCAATGACCCTGAGTCCAGGTTTAAACCGGTGAAGACAGGCAGTATGATTGGTGGCAAACGGAGAGGTCAGAGCTTTCAGCAGCAGCCGATGAAGGGAGACACAGAGACAAAAGTCTATTTAAATGTTTCCTGCCAACAAGCTGCTGCTGCTAACACTGAGCGGCCGTCGTCTCTGCGAGCACCGCTCAGCTGAACATAATGACACCTGAAGAGTCATTCTCGGACTGATCTGTGTTTGAGAAATGCACTCTCATTCGGGGTTGTAACGACTTTCTCTTCTCCATGGATGTTTTTATGTAGTGAGTTCAAAAAGCAAGATTCTCAAGCAGGGGCGTGTCCAGACGTTTAGGACTGGGGTGGCTCCAACTGGGGCTCAGTGCCTGTAGTCCTTTTACACTGTGCTTAAAGACTATCAGGCAAGTTGTAGTTGGTTGCCATGGTAACGATGGGGGCTGCAGTTGGGACACTCTGTGAAAGTAAAATACTAGAAATACTGACAGGCTTCATCAAAAGCTGTTGGGTTAGTTTCAGGACAGCGAGCACCACTTTTTCCTCCTCCTCCTCCTCCTCCTCCTCCTCCTCTTCTTCTTATTCTACATTTCAAATGTTAAACTCTTGATTGTCATCACTTGAGGGATACACAACAAAACCTCAAATGACAACAACCTCATAACTATGCTATGGGATTCAGCAGCAGCAGCCTCTCTGTCTCCTTTCATTTTGCGCGCCCGCCTCTCGTTTTGTTTTCCTCTCTTTCAGATGCTGCTGTTTCAAAGAGCTTCATTCAAATGGAGTGCACAGCTGTCCTGGCCTCTGTGGCAGTCCGACACAGACAAGAGGAAACAACAAAACAACAAAACAGAAGGGATTTCCATCTTTTGATGCCACGGCTGACTTTTACAATCAACACTACAATTCCCCTCACAGCGGGGGGGCCCAAAGTGAACGGGGGGATTCAACGACTTGTTGACGAAATCTAAGACGGAGGAAGAGCTCGTGTGGAAATGTAAAGATATGAAATACGGAATGTGATGCTTTCAGTTCTGCTGCTTTGAACATGAACTGTAAGATGCACATGCAGACACACAGATCTGCTGGTTTCTCTTCTTCTTTGTGGTACTTACGGCATAAGACTGAGTTTCCCTCCTGATTTGACTCCTTTCTTTTCTGGACGTAGTTGCTGGAATGGTGCCCTCTCTGCC